GAAGGGGATGGGGTCCCTGGCTCTAGGGGGTCTTTAGGTCATGGAGGGACGAGGTTTCTCTACATGGTATTCCTCTACTCTGAGAGGGAAACACAGCCCCACCCTTGTCTGTTATGGAGCCTGGTATGCACTGAAAGTCTGTGGCCCCGCCTCCACCCCCCAATTTCATATGTTAAAATATTAACCCCCAGTGTGATGGTGTTAGGAGGTAGGGTTTTGGGGAGGTCATTAGGTCACGAGGGTCAAGTCTTTGTCCCTCTGCAGGAAAGCTCCCTCACCCCCTCTGTCTCGTGTGGGCACAAGGAGACTTAGCCATCTGAGGACCAGGAAGCGTCTCTCACCAGACACTGAATCTGCAGGGCCTTGATCGTGGACTTCGCAGCCTGCAGAGCTGTGAGGAATAATGTTGTTTATAAGCCACTCCATCTATGGTCCTCTCTTTCAGCAGCCCGAACAGACTAGGACAGGGCTGCTAGAATGAAGGCTACATACAGTCCCTCTGCTTAGGAAGCAAGTCAAATCCTATGGAGAACTGGCCCCGTCCTCAGAACCCCCTGGCCAGAGTCAGCTGTATCTCCTGCCATCCCGCCCGTGCAAGACAGAGGAGGGAGGGGAACAGCAGGCTGAGGTCCCTTTCTGTGATGAATGGAGCCTGCGAGCATTGTCGCCAACCAGCTCCTGGGGGACATTCCCACAGCCCCACCATCAGGGTTAGGGCTCCCTTCCCTCTGCACCACAGTGCCTGACCCGTTGGAATGAATCCTGAGCCCTGAGCCTATTTCTAGCTCAGGAATGTTGGCCCTTTTGTCCTGCCCTGCTTTCCCTCTGCTCTGTCGTCCTTTCTTTCCCGCCCTGTCTCCCCCAACCCCCATTTCCCAAGCTCGCTCCTGGGAGACCAGACCCAACAGCCCACTGGTGATCTTGTTTTACATGAGACATTTCCAAAAAAGACAAAAAAAATCCTTTCCAGGAAAATGCCATTTTAAAAATTCAGCTCCAGACACTGCGGCAACATTAGGAAAACAAAGGACTTGGCAGAAAGGTTTTCTGAAGCGGGCCTTTCTGAAATACCTTTTCCAAAATCGCCTCCAGCGGGGCTGACGCCAAGGGGCAGCTCCGGAGCACCAGGCAATTTTGGATGGACAGTGACTGCTGGTTTTCACACCGTCCCTGCCTTTGCTTCCCTGGGATCTTCTCCCAGGCCCACGCAGAGAGCCCCTCGCCAGGGCTGCCAACACAAGCAGCTGTCTCCGCAGGGTCAGGAAATGCTGCCGGCTCCTCCCTCCGGAGGGGGCCGCTCAGTCCCTCTCCGGCCCTCACTATGCTGTGGGGCCAGGCTGGGGGCCTGGGGGACAGCCTGCGCCTAGTAGGGAGCTGTCGTCTCTTATCACCCAAGTGACAGAACTACACAATTGCCCCTGGGCCCTACACAGTGGTGCTTTTTCTCTTGTATGTATCAGGTATAATCCTGTTGATGCCATACATAAAATGACAGTAACAACCATTACTAAGCACGTTCCATGTGTCCACTGCTAACCTATTCTTCATATTTGTTTTACCTCATTTGATCCTCATAACAATAGTTATGGGCTGAGTTGTGTTCCCACCCGTCACCCCCAAAAAACTCCTATGTTGGAGTCCTAACATCCTCAGGACATCGGAATGTGACTGTATTTGGAGACGGGGCTTTTAAAGAGGTACTTAGGGTAAAAAGAGAGCTTTAGGGCAGGTCTGATCCAGTCTGAGTGCAGTCCTTATAAGAAGAATTCTACACACAGACAGACATGGCCATGGAGGAAAGACCGTGTGAGAACATAGCAAGAAGGTGGCCATCTACCAAGAAGAGAAGCAGCCATCTACCAAACACCTTACTAACACTTTGATTTTGGACTTCTAGCCTGCAGAACTGTGTGAAAATGTTCTGTTTTTTAAGCCACCCCGTCTGTAGTATTTCGTCGTAGCAGCCCTAGCAACCTAATGCAACAACCCGTGAGATTAATATTGTTATCACCTTGCAGAGATGGCAACTTGCAGAGGGCAAAACAGTCTCAAGATGTTATGAGACTGGCCCACCAAGCCAATAAGAGAATGACAATTTGAGAGTCAACTGCCTGATTCCAGAAGATGAACTCTGAAGCACGGCATTTGACTGTTTCTCTTCTGTGCCCCTCTGTGTATGTGCACGTTTTATGTCTTTCTTGCTGCATAACAAGCAGCCTCACAGTATAATGGATTAAAATAGCAACACATGTTTTGTTCCTTCATTAGTGATTGTGAGGGGCTTTGCAGGACTAGCTCATCGCTGCTCCACTTGGTGTCAGCTGGGATGGCCCCAAGGCTAGACCAGGTCATCTGCTGTCTCACTCATTCATTTGGCCGGCGATTAATGCAGGCTGTCCAGCTGGGACCTTAGATGAGGCTGTCAGTCCAAACATTCCATGTGGCCTGAGCTTTCTTCTAGCACGGTGACCGGTTCCAAGGGCAAGCACCCCATGAGACAGAGCCCGGGAAAAGCCGTGTCACCTTTTCCAACCCTGTCTTGGAAGAACGACAGCATCACTTTCACCACATTCTCTTTCTTGGAAGCCAGTCGTGGTCAGGGGAAGAGGAGTTCGATGCTGCCTTTGATGGGAGGAGTGTCCAAGAATTTGCAGACATGTTTTAAAGACACCAGGGCATGTGCCATTGACACGATTGTCCGTATTTTGTCAGGTGTTTGTGTTTATTTGCCTGCCGGTAGCATTGTATCACTGGAAGAACATTAAACTGGGGGGTCCAAAGCCCTGAGCAAGAGACTTCCAGTTGTACGGGGCCATGATTCCACAGCCCACACATGAAAAAAGCAGGACCTGCTTCTGGTTGGGCCACCCTCCTCTAAATGGGACTGAGGCTACTGAACTTCATTCCAGCCTCTAAAACCAACACTGATGGACAGCAGAAGAAACTTTAGGATGCTGGTCTTCTGACACTTCACCTTGACTCTCAGTTATGATAACCTGAGTTCTACCTTGTTCCTGTGGCCAAGTGGCTGCCTCGGAATTGTCGCAATCCATATATTGAGGACTTCCTCAGTGCTAGGCATGACCACCGGCATTTTGTATTTGTTATATCACTTAGCCATCATATCAATCCCATGAAGCAGGTAACATATTAAGTGACATAATTACCCATTTAACATATGAAGAAACTAAAGTTCAGGGGGGTAAGTAACCTTCCTAAAAGTTAGTAGAGACAGAGCCTGAACTACAGGTTGTGCCCTGGCTGGTACCATTTCCTCCGGGGCCTGGCATCCCGCCCCTGGACCCCTGCCCAGCAGCCAGGGCCTGCTCCCTGTTGGCAGGCCTCCTGCACAGCCCACTGCCTGCCAGGACATCTGACAGCTTCTGGATTGTCCGTCTCTCTGCTCCACTCACCTTTTGGGCCCTCGCCATGCTTTCTGTTGGAGTTTATCTCTGCCCCCGTTGTGAACTACTCAACGACTCCTATCCGGGGACGGCCACCACACTGTGTTCACCCTCCTAATCTATGTCCCGGCCCTTCACCACCTGCCCCAGGCCACCTTGGTAATGGGAGAGTGCTTTGGCATGGTCAGAGCACAAGACCGAGCAAGACAGCATCGCAAATGGACAAAGTCTAAGGCCGCAGAGTCAGATCCATCTAGGTTCAAATCCTGACTCCACCATTTATTACTAACGTGTAAGAATAATGAGGCCCACCTGGCCTCATTGTGAAGCTTCTCCGTGAGTTAATATGTGTACAGGGCTTGGCACTGTGCCTACCACATAATAAATGCTTAATAAATATTAGTCATCTTTGTTCTTATTCTCAAAAATATTTGTAAAAGATCCACTAGAAAGCCTAGCATAATATGATAGACATTCAAAAATGATAGCTGTTAATCTTGTTGTTTAAGTCCTGGAAAAGCTACAGGAATTCAGAGAAGGGCCAGATAACAAGGTAGTGAAGACAGAAAGCAGGCTGCCCAAGCAACTGTGCAGATCTGCAGCTAATCCCAGAGCTTGGGTATGACTGGCCTTGATTAAGTGGAAATGCCTTTTTACGGGACTCCCATCTTCATCTGCCTCAATTAGGAGACAACAAGAGCTTCCCGAGCTTGGAAGCCCCTGAGAAAAGAATCCTCAAGAGAGAAAATCAGAAACACCCTCTCTGCTCCAGCCCAGCACCCCCTGCTATGACAACATGAGCCACCGGCCACCACAGTCTTCCCTGCTCATCCAGCTGTCCCACTGGTCTGAGGTTTCACAAGCTTCACCTGAGGCTGTCAGTTAGTTCTCAGAGAGCTGGGGAACATGATCAGGGTATGTAACAGTTTCCCAGCCTCAAGCCCACTCCAGGCTGAGCTGTTAGCAAGAGGTGGGCAGAAAGCAACTCTTAGGTTTATAAAAGACGAGCTGTCACAGGCACACACGTCTTTGAGCACTGGGTGCTGTAACACTGGTATTGTCCTTCTCCATCACATTTTTTTCTGCTACTACTTTCCCAGGATTCTCAGGGCCACATTCACCACTGCTCATAGCTCCTGGGTCAATGCCAGCCAAACTGGGGCAGGGGGGTATATGAAGTTGAGCAGACCCAATGACTTAGAACGATGTCACCAGCTCAGTTCTAACTGCTTGGCTCCTGTGTTCTTCCTGATTTTCCTTCAAGCCAGATGATCAATGAGGTGACAGCAATTTCCCCCAGACCACTCTCATTTCCCTCTTCCAATCTGACATGGATCTGGTGCCCTCGGCAGTGACCTCTGCAAGCCCACATTACTGCTCATGTTGCCTCAGAGTCTGAGTTCTCCCCTCCCCACTCCAGGCTCGGTCCACTCTGCTACAACCCACCCTTCTGCCATGACTTCTAATCCCTAAGTTTGCCTGGAATCCAGCTCTCCCCTGTATTAGTCTGCTATTTCTATGATAATACCATGTAATAAACAATCCCCAAACCTTAGTGGCTTATAAAAAAAACAGACAGTTCTTTTTCTCACTCACAGTCTGTGGGTTGGATGAAGTAGCTCTGATTCAGGCTGTGTGGTCAGGTACAGATGAGTTTCACATGTCATTCATTCTGGGGCCAGCAGCTCCCTGGGGCAGTCTCTTCTCATTATGGATGAAAGAAGCACAAGGAAAAGTTAGTGGAGACTTTCCATGACTCTTCAACTAAGAACTGGCCACATTAGCAAGTCCACCCACATTCCATGAGCCAAAGCAAGTCAGCTGGCCAAATCCAGAGTCAAATGGATGAAAATATATTCTCTGCTTATTCTAGTAGGCTGTGTGCAAAGTCACATGGCAAAGGACATGGACATATATATACCTCTATTACAGGCAGGGAGTAGAGAATTGGGAATACTGATCCAATATCCAACATTACTTAAACCAGCACCCTTTTACGAGCCCATCTGAGGGAACGTCTAGCTCCCTGCTTGCCTGCCAGGCTTCCCCCCCTCCTCACCCCAGCTCAGGCTTAGGGGCTGGCTCTCTGTGGACAGACCTGTCACATGAAGAGTCCTGACCAGTTGACTGCCAGCCACTGGCTGTCACCTGCGTCTCCTGCCATGATTTACCCACCTGATTGTTCGTCCTGAACTCTTAGAGAAGCTCACCAGCCTAATCAGCTTCTCAGTCCCTAGCATACCCTGACTTCAGAGGGATAGACCAAGAGTAGGGAAGTTGGGAAGCTACCAGGGAACCGAGGCACCTTCTTCCTCTCTCACACTCTCTTGCTATATGTTTTCTCTCTTTGCTCTCTCTGTACGTTCACTGGTTTTCCCTCTGGGCACCAGCCTTCTGTGCTCTTCCATGGACTTGGTAGGATAGGGCCTGCTCCAGCACCAGGGGCCAGCAGCTCCCACTTTCAGCACTATTACCAAGCTGATGAGTATTCCAGTGTCTCGCCTCCAAAAGCCCAGAGAAAGACCCCAGTCCATCACGGCCAGGATCATGTAGCACTAACCTGGTTACCCACCCCTCTAGATGAAGGAAAAGAGTGGTGTGGCTCTCAAACATTTTTTAAAAAAGACTCCAAACTGGTGTTCTCTGGGCTGACTCTAGTCACAAGATGTATTCAGTTTGGCCACAGAATTTGTAAGTGTTTTGTAGTACTTGACAAAATTGAGAAATTGAGAGTTGAAATATCAATCCAGATTTTTTTCTTAAGAAAGTAAATGATCTCACCTGGAAGACAGTGTGAAGGTACCCTATGGGGCCCAAAGTCATTCTGTGTTCCTAATCTAGCTGTGGCTCATACTTTCACGTTCCATTTGTGAAAAATCCATCAAGCTATACTCTTAAAATGCATCCGCTTTTGAATATGTATATTACACTTCTTTTAAGCTTTAAAAATTTAGAAGATATGGCCCTGGCTGGCGTGGCTCAGGGGATTGAGTGCCAGCCTGCGAAACAAAGGGTCCCCAGTTTGATTCCCAGTCAAGACACAGGCCTAGGTTGTGGGCCAATTTCCAGGTGGGGGGGCATACGAGAGGCAACCACACATTGATATTTCCTCTATCTCTTTCTCCCTTTTTTTACCTCTCTCTAAAAATAAATAAGTAAAATTCTCTTAAAACAAATTTAAGAGATCTGGCAACATTGGAGCCACATTCCAGCAAGGAATAAGTCAACTGGAGAAGAGTCGTTTTCCATAGTGCCCTACTCCCCGCTACTCCCCATTCTCTTCCTGTCACTGAGGCAGGAGGTCAGTAGTTATTTATCATCATCTTTGATACACTCTTCTTACAATAGAGTTAAGAATAAAGTAACCTTTTTTCTTTTAATTCCATAACTCCATCAAAATGGGGGAAACAAAAGCATACCAGAGATGTTCTTTTGTCTTTGAAATATTGAAAATAGATTTTTCTTTTTTTTTTCAGAAGTTAAAAACATTCTTCCAAGTTTGACATGCAAATAAAATGTGTCAGTATCAAAGAATAAAAAAGAAATCTAGCCAAAAGGGCTGTGACCAGTATGTGGAAACTTGATCTAAAAGCGAAGGATTGATGCTTTAACATGTTTTATTTTTCAATGCAAAAAAAAAGGGGGGGTGAGAATACTGCTCGGGCATTGAAATCTTTGATGAATGGGGAGTTTATAAAAAAGTATCTGCTGAGGATAAAGGAAATTCATGCCTTGAAACAGAAATAAGTATTTGCAAATGGAAGACTAAACAGAAATGCTGTTGCTCAGCAAGATAATGACATGGCTGAGAACTTACAGGACAGGCTGTAGGAAAAAGTTCCGTCATTTGTGGCATTTCCTAGGGAAGCATATGAGAGCCCCGTTAAAATAATACCACCCAGTCAGCTATATTTATTTATGGTTCCAAAAAGACTGGGACATGATTGGAGAATTTGGGGGCATGGTGTCCATCACAGGCACAACTTCAGGAAATGGCTTAGCTTTGTGTGTTGAGAAGTCATGAAAAATGTAAAGCAGGCAGGTCAAAATTAGCAAGCCGGGCTAGGAAACAGAGCTCCTGAGATGGTCAGCATTAAGACTGACCCTGTTTTCAAATGTAAATCCCAAATGGCAAAATTTTGCACAAGCATGGAACCTAAATGATTCACCAGGAATTTCTTTGTGCTAATAAGTTAAAATAGAACATATCATGGACCTAGTAAACTGGATTCACTTCCATGACTGAAAGGATAGAAATTTCAATGCTACACTTGATGCATCAGATATTCAACTGTTATAATATTCATGTGTTCTGATATATTAAGGGTAGTTGTTATATAATGTCTTTGATTTGCAGATGGGTGGAAGAGTTGAAAAATTAAGAACTTGTTCTTATCATCCAACAAAAAATACTTACCCCAACTCACCCACAAATATTAGATCGAGGTATTGACCTCTTCAGTAAATATCACAAGCCATCTAACCATTGGGTGCTTCCTTGCATGAATCTTCACATGTACGCAAGTGGGCTATTGAATTTGCTCATCCTTAGTGAAATTACATCTTTGGAAATCTCATTTGGCAAAAAGAAATCTGGCCCACTTTCCAATGCTGAAATCAATCATCAAAAATGAAAGAGATTACTTAAACTGCTCTCCCAAAATCATGGGGTTGAAAGCAGAATTCCAAAAAGAGGTTCTAATTTTATGAAAACTAACTCCTGTTATTTGACTCACCTTTCTTAATTACTATTGTGTGATAAAGGGGACTTTTGAACCACAACAGAGTCCCCAAAACTAAATGCTGCAACATTAGAATGCCAAAGTTCTACGAATATCTCCGGAGTCGTTACCCCAAATATAAAAACCATCACACAAAGATTCTATCCATGTTCAGCCATGGACAGCTGGTTCCCATTATAAAATCAAAAAGAAAAGCTATTGCTCTTAGTTAGAGGATTCAAGGCTGAATTCTACACAGCACATCGCAACATGAAATGCAAGACCCAACACTGACATGTTGGGGCAAAGGAAAGAGTGTCACATTTCTGGTCCTAAAGCAAAAAAGTAATGAGTTACGAAAGAAAAAAATTAATTAAATATTTCTATTTTGTCAAATGTTACGTTTTTCAATTTCAAACTTAATATATAATCTCCAATATCATGCATGTTTGTACTACGTTATGTGTTTATGCCATGGTCAAGTAAAAATGAAAGGAAGTTTGATTATATTTCTGGCAGTTGATTTTTCTTACACCCAGCCCAGTTTGTTCGCTTTGTTGTATTTCTGGATTCTGCAGGAATCTGAGTTTGCAACCTCTGGTGTACTATATATGGTTTTTCTCCCCACTGCATTTTTACCATGGAGCAAGTGAGTTTACATTGAAACATAATATATAGAAAATCCAGAACAGAGAAACAAGCTTGCTTATCTTACCATCTTGACAGTACTTACAAAAACAAAAACATGTACTTACAGGAAATCTGCATATATATAATGTATTTTAATTAAAAATGGAATCACACCACAGCTTTTCAATATTATTAAGTGTTCTACAACTCGAGATTTTAATAGCTGCATATTATTCTACATTTGTAAAACTATCTTAACTTATTGGCTGCATATTGGTCTTAATGCCAGTCCTGGCTCTCCCCCTTTCCTAATGACTGCCATGTTTTTCCTCATAATGTCATATATCCAGCACCTTCATTTTCACTTGTAATTTCCAATAAAGGCTGGACTTGGTTCCAATTAGAATTTGGTAATTCTCTGAGGGAGATAAAATAAAAGCTCAACTTTGTGGGCCCTTCTTGAGCCCAATAATCTCTGGCTCACTGACCCTGGGCTTCATTTTCTGGACCCTTGATAATTATCATTTGCTCAGAGGGCAACAGTTTTGCTGCATGATGAAGGGTCTCCAGTTGGTTCCTTTACCTCTATAGACCACCTTGAAGAGAGCCAGAGCCGTCCCAGAAAGATTTAAAAAACTAGCCAAGTAAGAAATGCTTAAATATGGGGAAAGAGAAAACCTCTCTGAGGTTAGGACCGACTGCCCACTGCCACCTCCCAGCCCAGATGCCAGGGCTATTTTTACCTTGGGCTTGTGACACCTGCCTGCCTGCCCACGTTCCCACCCCCACCCCCACCATTATTTGTATTAAACACATACGCCCACAAATCTCAGTCCTTCCAGTTTCAGAAGAGATATAAGAGTAACTGGAATGCCTCCAATCTGACTGGGGAGGCAGTGCTGTCAATAAGGAAGCCTGTTTAATTGGGAAATCATCTTCCACATCCTTGGGAATCCCCCAGTTTGACGAGAAGCCTCCACCATCAGGAAGCCTTTCACTTGATGAAAGAAATTCAGTTTGCTGCTCTGATCAAAGGCTCCCAGAAAATGTGCTGATGGCATCAAGTTGGCAGTGCAAATAAGCACATGAAAATAAGCGAGAACTTGCAAGGTGGGGAAAAGACCTTCAGACCACCTGCCTAGGCTGCAGCTCCAGGACGGCAGAGCAGAGGCAAGGGAACCAGAGTGTCCCTTAGAGCAGCTGAACGAGGGACATCATGAGCTTACCAGGGCAAAAAATCTGTAGGATAATTATCTTTAAAAGACATTATAAAGATCCACACTGAACAGCATACATTTTTAAGTAACAGACTCAATATTGTATGACTAAACATCACAGAGGAGCACATGCATTTACCTATTAATTTTTAAGGTAGTAACCCCTAATGAGGAAAAATGGGAGGGGCCCTTCATCAAAGGAAGAATTTCAGCCCCTTTCTGAAAAAGTAAAAGTTGGTTAAAGAGAATGGGCTAGCAAAGCAAAGTAGGCTTCAGAGTAGGAGTCTTGACCTCCTAGAATTTTTTGACCATCCCCTGGAGAGGGTCATGACCTGGAGGCAGCAGACAAGGTGGCTGATGAAAGTGCAAAGTGAAAGAAGAGTTCCAAATCCCTATACAGCTCCTCCCCCCACCTCAGCTGAAAAATTGCCTGTAACCCGGTTTTGAGTCCTGAGGCTAGAGAGAAGAAAGAGAAAAAAGGAGGAGAGAGGGCCCTGGCTGGTGTGGCTCAGTGTGTGAGCACCAGCCTGGTAACCAAAGGGTCCCTGTTTGATTCCTAGTCAGGACACAAGCCTGAGTTGTGAGCCAGGTCATTGATGTTTCACTCCATCTCTTCCCCTCTCTCTAAAAACAAATAAATAAAATCTTAAAAAAAAAAAAAGGAGAAAGGAAAGAGGAGGGAAAGGGACCAGGAGAGATGAGAAGGGAATCAAGGAGAGCTCTTCTCTAAGGAAACCTCATTTTCTACAACAGAAGCAGCAAGAGTTGTTGGTGCCCCAGAGTAAAGAAAGCTCCAGCATCCCAGCATTTCAGAGACCCCGCCCCAGCCCTCATTCTCACTCTAACCAAATCCTTCCAGTGACCACCATACACACAGCCCCCAAGCACACTTCTTCGTCCTTCATTCTCACGTAGGAACGACAGCAGAGGCTCCCCAGATACTGAGGAACGCTTGCAACATGAAAGAGAGCTATAAAGAGCTAGATCCTCATCCATCATAGCCAGAAGTCAGAAGATAATGTCTGAAGTGGATAAATCAAGGAGAAATGGTATAAGAATATATTTAGAAATGCTTTAGAACTGAAAACAGAAAAAGATAAAAGTAGATGCCTCTCAGTAGCAGAGCAGGAGGCAGAGGAGTGGGGTAGAAAGGGCAGACGACTGTTGTTTTTCATTGTAAGCCTTTCAGTACAATTTGGTTTGATTTTTTTAACCTTTAAAATATTTTTAAGAAAAGGTTGCATGGTAAAGCTAATGCCATAAAAGGAATCATCAGAATAATGCATTGCTATTCATCTTAACTTTTTGTTCCTGAAGTTTCTCTTTTTCTTCCAAATTTTAAAAAGATTTTATTTATTTATTTTTAGAGAGAGAGAAAGGGATGGAGAAAGAGAGGGAGAGAAACACTGATCAGTTGCCTCTCACATGCCCCCAGCTGGGGACCTGGCCTGCAACTCAAGCATGTGCCCTGACTGGGAATCAAACCAGTGATCTTCTCGTTCGCAGGCCTGCACACTATCCACTGAGCCACACCAGCCAGGGAATGTTCCTAATTTTTTTTAAGCAACCAATGCAAATGGAGATTCTCTAGCAAGTATTTCCTGTATGTCCATTCCAAGTAGTATATTACCTTATGTTTCAGGGAATTGTTAAAGAATAGGAACCAAATTACATAACCCCTAAGTTTTCTTTTTTGGTTTGCCAATTAAACCAAGGAGAAAAAAGAATTTAAGATCTAAAGCATCAGGTCAGACACTCGCATCACCCCCAACATTTCTTGAGCACATACCATGTGCCAGATCAATATCGTCAATGCCGGAGATTCAGTAGTGAAGTGTCAAACTACTATCCCGGAACTCACATTCCAGTGAGAGATGGAGGAAAGCTATCAAAAAAACTAATAATAAATAAAAGGGGGAAAGATTAGACAGTGTCAAGAACGATGCAAAGGATTGAAGTGTTTCAATGATAGAGAGTGGCTGAGGAAATACCCTATTGTTGATGATCAAGGTTGGCCTTTTTGAAGGATGGTAGTTAAAGCTGAAGTGTGAATGGGAACAAAGAACCAGCCGTGTAAAGACTAAGGTGGGGCAGGTGGAGGAAATGAAGGAAAAGGGGCAGCATTCCACCTAGAAAATCTCTAAGCGGGAGAGAAAAAGACTTTCAGTATGACAAGTATGCATTCTAAGAAGAGACAGACAGAAGGTCATTATGGTTGAACTTGGTAGGTAAGAAGAGATGAGAAGAAATAATGGGATGACGTAGAAATTGCAGGGACCAGTTCGTGTTGAGTTTTTAAGCCATAGTAAAAAATTTGGATTTTATTAAAAGCATAACAGAAAGCCTTTGAAGACATTTAAGCAAGAGGGAAACTTGATCTGGTCTAGGTTTTCAGATAACTCCCTACCTGGAATGGTTGGAGGCCAGTTATCTCATGTCTTCAGATAATAATCAAATAAAGGGGATTCGGGTGAACTCAAATCAAGTTAGCATGCCTTCTTTTAGGAAGCCAAGTTTTCATCCATTCATTCACTTATTAGTTTACCCAAAACTATTGATTGAGCATTTGCTCTCTGCCTAGCACTATGCTGGGAGTCCAAGAGATAGAAATTCTTGTCCAAAGGAGACTGCATAGAAGACTGGCATGGAAGGATATCATTGTCTAAGATAGTTAGCAAGGATAAGATTTGGGCTAAGAAACTGCAAGATTTTCTTTTTCTGAGAAAGTTGTCAGGCCATCTGGCTTTTGTAGGAAAAAAAAAGGAGCACCTCCCTTCTCTGTCCTCAAAAAAAAAAAAAGTGGGGTAAGCTTACAAAGGTGTCCTTCCTCCCTCTATGATTTTTGATACACCCTCATGCCCCGACTCCAGGCTGCCCTTGTGACTTGTTTTGGCTAATGAGACAATAGCAAGTGTAACATAAAAAGAGACTTGAAAAGCACTTACACATTAGGACTTGCCTACTCTCCTTTTCTGCTTTTGGGAACCTTGCATCTGCTACCATATGAACAAGCCTGGGCTCACCTGTGGGAAGATGAAAAAACATATGACCAAGCATTTTCCACTGCTCTGCTGACCAACCAGCAAACACGAGTGTGAGGCCATCCTAGACTACCGATCCTTAGACAAGCCAGTCCAGACTAGATCATCTGCCTACCCTACCCACAGAATAATGAGAAAAAAAATACTTTGATAAGTCAGTATGCTTTTGGAGTGGTTTGTTACACAGCAAAAGCTAACTAATACTAGAATACAGAGGAATCGATTTACCTCTCACAAAGGCAAGATTCTCAATTCACATACTTCAGGCCTGGCTCCTCTTATCAGGGATTTCCGAGAAGCATCCATCTTTTTCTGCCCAACCTGTCATACCTCTAATGATTCTCCCTTAGGACACACCTACCTTAAGGGGAAGAAAAGTGAATAACCCTGGTCAAGATGAGAGCTGGTCCCATCAGAAGTGTGCACAAAGGGACCTGAGCAGGTGACAGTGCAACCCAAGTCAAGCGTATGGTGACGAAGAGTAGCTGCACTGCAAATACAGGGTGAGATTGACAAGAGTTTGACAAGGGAGCTGCCAGGGAGGAAAACAGCTGTGCTCTGAACTCGGCTCTATCTAAGACCGCTTCACCCAGCCGAAGGATTCAGAGCTCAGTGGAGTCCCTGAGCTCAGTAAGAAAGAGTTTACAGCCTTCTTCCTCCAAAAGCTCCAAGATAAATAGAATAAACACCAGTTGGTCTCAGCTGGTTGCCCGTTGGCCTGCCTGGAGGAGGGGGATGCCAGAGATAGCTTCTTGAGGTCGCTTCCAGGCCTGCATTTCTAGGAAATAGACAATTATGAACAACATGGATTTTATTATTGTGACATCTCTAAGGTCTCTGCATAAAGCCTATATTTAAAAATATAAACATGTAAGTGAAAAAAATGTCAGGGGAATAAATATTTGTCTTAAAAGAGACCATCTGTTTCAAATTTTTATTTAAAAAAAAACCAACATGTGTTTTATTTTAAATTTGTATGTGTGTTGTTATCCTTGGGTTAAGTATTAGGTAAATAGACAGAAGCATTGAGAATCCATTTTCCAGCAAATTTTGGTTAGAAATCCTTGCACACGTGACGCAGGAGATAATTTAGGGGCTAATTGGGGCTTTGTGGGCAGCCAGCTCCTTGCAGGCCTCTCCCCAACTCAGTCCCCATGTGACGGGAACGAGGATTTCCCTGGCATTGGCATCTGCTTTGGACAAGACAGCATTTTACCCCTCAGCCGACACAGCATGGTGCAGGCTGCTCCCAGACCAGGCAGCAACCAAGTGCAGGTGTGACCAGCGTGGCAGAACCACAGAGCCCACTTTTGTTGGGGCTTCAAATCGCAGCCCCGATGCTTAGTCAGTCTGAATGCAAACCCTGTTTGGTGGCTGTAACCAGGCTGGCTTGGGTGAAAGTGGGGAGTCACGAAAAGATAACTGTGAGTTGGTCTTGATGGGTAAATAGGGAAGAAGCATGAGAGAAGTCATTTCAAAGTGGGGGTACAGCATGGAATCTTGAAGGGGTGTGGTATATTTGGGGAAATGGCATCAATCTGGGGCTGCAAGTAAGGAATGGCTGGAGATGAAGCTGGAGTGGTGCTGGGAAAACAGTGGACAACTTTCACTTGTTGCCTTTTCTTCATCTTTTCCTGTTGGGAACAGCCCCACCCATTTATTCTAGGTGATTCTGATGGGTCTGTCAAGCTCTGCACTCAGAACTAGCCACTGCTCTGAACACAGCCATTGGCTGAAGAGTGGTCACGTGACCTGTTTGGAGCCAAACACTGTTCTTTTGGGGCTAGGGTGGGGGGTACTAATGGGGATCTGTGAGAGCTTTCTCTTCTCTCCTAAGGTCATAGGCTGAAAGGACCCAGTAAAGGCATCTTTCTCTTTCCCATCGTTTGGGGAGTTTCTGCTTGTGAATTAAGACCAGTACAGTGAAAAGCAGAAAAGAGAGAGAGAAAGATGATTGACATTATTTGAGCTCCTGGGTCCAACTATTCCTAACCATTTTTACCAAAACCAGAGCTGGGTTTCTGTCTCTCGCAACTAAGAAATTGTTGGCTTATACAGTGGAGCCAGAAGCCAAAATTAAACTTGCAACAAGAAACAGACAACTCTACCTGATACAGGTGAAAGTCCGGCGGCTCCCTGGGGTAAAGAGAGTTAGCAGCCCACCAAAATATATTGCTCCCATGCCACCTTATATGGTTGTTACTGGGAAGTGGATACCCGGCTAAGGATTATGATTTCCGGCATTGCCCTCTTCCTCTTGTCTTGCCTCTATTTATATGTAGTACGAGATGAATTCTCACCAGGGGAATATGAGCAGAAGTGCTAAGAACATTTTCCTGACCAAGATTTTCAAAGTAGGCCTGCCTTCTGCACTGTCTTCATTTTTGTCCCTGGGTGGGGAGGATGATCAGGTGCCCTGGGGAGTGACGGCACCACCCGTGGCAGGAGCACCTGTTCTGGACAGCTTGTGTTAGTAAGAAATACGTTTCTTCCGAGTTTGAGCCACTATGCAATTTGGGGATCTAGTCATTACATAAGTTGGGGTTACCCTAATAAGTACATTCCTTTCAACATTTTGCCAGTTCCTTGCAGCCACCTATTGCTTTGCTCCCCAACTCCAGAATTACTCAGATCAGGGACTCCTACTGATGAAGTCCATGACATGACAGTTTCATAGATTTATGGAAGACCTACTGCATAAAAGACCAGGTACTATCTGTTTAAGGTTAGAAAGGGAAATTAGATATGCCATATTTTATTAACTCTAAGTCACCATCTATTTTGAGATGTATCATTTATTATTTTATGTACCACTGAGAAAAAATGTTTACAACACTGAGAAAATGATTGCCAACTAAACTATGGCATACCATGAAAAGCTACCCTAATTTCAGAATTGTGGAGGGGAAATGTGTATCTTAAGGCTGATGAAACCCAGTATTTCTTACCTTCAGGAAGCTGCAGATCTTGTGGGAGAGGCAGATAAACAAATAAATACGTGCCGGGTAGCACAAATGCCATAAGAGACCATTCAGCCAGAATCCAGAGAAAGAAGTATTGATGTTGAGATGGGGAAATCTTCACAAAGGTGACATTTGAGCTGGATCTCGAAAGAGGAAGAATGGAAGTGACTGCCAGGAGACGTTTTCCCCTCAGTTAGCAGGGACAGCAAGTCTCCTAGATGCCTTCTGCACGCCTTCAGCCAGGCTTTCGTCCTTCTCCAGGGACTCGAATGGTTTAGCAGAATCTCAGAATACTGCAGCAATAAATTCCAACCAGACAGCTCCATTTTCCTGATAAATGGAGGCTAATCCTTTAGGTGCCAAGAGATCATTTTAACTGGATATTTTTCAGGGGAAAACCTTCCAGAGTGTGTCATAGTAAACCTTTGGCATCTGCTGGGGGCACATCAGGGAGGCAGGCTCCTGGCTTGCTCAGAACCACATTTTCATGGGAAGCCACAGGTATCCTGTGCACAGTCTGGCACCACACACCACCCTCCCTTTCCACTGACTCCATAGTTTTGCCTCTTGCTTGATGAGCAATTATATGTAACCAGTACATTGACCACGCATGACTTCTGATGTAATCAAAGCACAGTTTTATTTTTGTCTCTCATTATCTCTTTAAACCTGATTCCATGTGGGTAGCCTTCTTCTACCGCCGAACAAAAACCTCCCGCAGGCCCATGACTTTTTAGTTCAGTCTTGGGTGGTTGACACACTAAGTCACTCGAAGTGACACACACAGCCCTAACTCTGTCACTTGAATGCCCATTTCTGTGTAATAATTCAACTTGATTTAAGAGCATGCCTTTTTTTTTTCCTTCCTCCCAGCCCCACTGTGCTGCAGGCTGGATGGAGGCTGCAGTGGGAAGAGAGGGGTGGTTGAGCTTTCTGTTGGCCTTGTGTGATTGTACTAACATGCACACACATACACACTGCAACGAGGGCTCCCTCCGGAGAAAGCTCTGTGCTGATCTGTTTTCCCTCTTCATTTCCTCAACCATTTTACATTCTCCAAGTGAATAAGATGGTAACCAGAGTTCGATTCCTTTGTACATTCTGCAAGTGGTGACCTAGCTATATGATCTTGCATCTGTTATACTTTGATGTCTCTGTCAAATTTTTATTTTTAACACCCTATGGGGCATAGTATTGTGATGGACTGAATGTTTGTGTCCCCCCCAAAAAATTACATGGTGAAGCCCTCACCCCCAGTGTGATGAGATTTGGAAGTGGGGCCTTTGGGAAATAATTAGAGTTAGATGAGGTCGTGAAGATGCCCCCCCCCCCCCGCCAATTGAATTAATGCCCTTATTAGAAGAGGAAGAGCTCTCTGGAAATCTTCCTCCCTCTCTCTCTCTCCCTCTCTCTCTCCCCCTCTCCCCCTCTCCCTCTCCCTATCTCTCTCTTTCTCTTTCCCTCCCTTCCTCCTTACCCGGTGTGAAGACACAGCAAGAAGGTAGCCATCTGCAAGCCAGGAAGAGATCTCTCACCAGAACCCAACCATGAGCTCAGATTTCCAGACTCCAGAACTGTGAGAAAGTGAATTTCTGTTGTTTAAGCCACCCCGTCTATGGTATTTGGTGTGGCAGCCAAGCTGACTAAGACAATCACCAGCCAGAGCATTCACTAAAATCGTTTTACAGATAGCTTTCTCTAGTCTTTCTCTACTTTCTGTCGGGCACACAGTAGGCACTCCAAATGTTTTATTAAATGAATGAACGAGAGAATGTATAGCAGAATGACAGCATGACTCACTTCAGATGCTCAAGCCACCATGAAATGCCACGGAATTGCATTCTGTGTGTTATTTTCTTTATTTTTCAAAACGTGTGTGTGTTAAGCAACATACGAGGTAGAGGAAAAGGTAGAAGATCCCCTTCAATTTCCTCCCTGGCTCATTGCACTTCCCCACTAAGAGCGCACACACAATTAGTGCGACCTATTTTGTACAACCTGT